AGCAGAACTCAGCCGGGTTAACATGGAGCAGAACTCAGCCGGGTTAATGTGGAGCAGAACTCAGCCGGGTTACCGTGGAGCAGAACTCAGCCATGTTGGTGTGAAGCAGAACTCAGTCAGGTTAATGTGGAGTGTGACACATTAAATGTGTGTCTGCCTTATATAATTGTTAAAACATGGCATTTCAAAGCAGTGTAATGGTCCCTTTCTAAAGATATTATTTATCCATCCATCCATCCATCCATTTTCTTCCACTTATCCGGGGTCGGGTTGCGGGGGTAGCAGTTTAAGTAGGTAGGCCCAGACTTCCCTCTCCCCAGCCACTTGGGCCATCTTCTCCGGGGGAATCCAGAGGCGTTCCCAGGCCAGCCGAGAAACATAGTCCCGTAGCGTGTGTTCCAACTACAGGGGATCACGCTCTTAAGCCTCCCTGGTAAGGTCTATTCGGGGGTTCTGGAGAGGAGGGTCTGTCGGATAGTCGAACCTCGGCTTCAGGAGGAGCAGTGCGGTTTTTGTCCTGTTCGTGGAACACTGGACCAGCTGTACACCCTCAGCAGGGTCCTGGAGGGTGCGTGGGAGTTTGCCCAACCAGTCTACATGTGCTTTGTGAACTTGGAGAAGGCGTTTGACCGCATCCCTCGGGGAGCCCTGTGGGGGGTACTCTGGGAGTATGGGATACCATGCCTTTTGGTACAGGCTGTTAGGTCCCTGTATGACCGGTGTCAGAACCTGGTCCGCATTGCCGGCAGTAAGTCGGGCTTGTTCTCGGTGAGAGTTGGACTCTGCCAAGGTTGCCCTTTGTCACCGATTCTGTTCATAACTTTTATGGACAGAATTTCTAGGCGCAGCCAAGGTGTTGAGGGGATCTGTTTTGGTGGCCTTAGGATTGCGTCTCTGCTTTTTGCAGATGATGTGGTCCTATTGGCTTCATCAGATGGTGATCTACAGCTTTCGCTGGAGCGATTCGCAGCCGAGTACAACACGGCCGGGATGAAGATCAGTTTCTCCAAATCCGAGGCCATGGTCTTGATCTGGAAAAGGGTAGAGTGCCCTCTCCGGGTCAGGGAGGAGGTCCTGCCCCAGGTGGAGGAGTTCAAGTATCTTGGGGTCTTGTTCACGAATGAGGGAAAAATGGAGCGTGAGATTGATAGGCGGATAGGTGCAGCGTCTGCAGTGAAGCGGGCGTTGTACCGGTCTGTTGTGGTGAAGAGAGAGCTGAGTCAAAAGGTGAAGCTCTCAATTTACCGATGGATCTATGTTCCTACCTTCATCTATGGTCACAAGCTTTGGGTTGTGACTGAAAGAACGAGATCTCGGATAAAAGTGGCTGAAATGAGTTTTCTCCGCAGGGTGTCTGGGCTCTCCCTTAGAGATAGGGTGAGAAGCTTGATCATCCGGGAGGGGCTCAGAGTAGAGCTGCTGCTTCTCCACGTCGAGAGGAGCCAGTTGAGGTGGCTCGGGCATCTGTTTAGGATGCCTTCTGGACGCCTCCCTGGTGAGGTGTTCCGGACACGTCCCACCAGGAGGAGACCAGAGGAAGACCCAGGACACGCCTGAGGGACTAGTTATTATTTAATTAAATATAAAGTTTCTCTGCGTCTTCATAGATCTTCCCTCGTTGATAAATCCGTTTGTTGTTTAATACTGGACCGGGTGGTCCACAGACCAGCTGTCATCACTTCGCCACATTATTACATTATTGAGCTGTAGCACCGGCTCACCTTCCCACAGGTTGACAGTTTCACCTCTTTTACTACCTTGCTTCACAACACAGAGGAGCACCAGGGATGGCTTCGACCCCCTCTCACTGCCTCGGTCCATTTAGGACCCGGAGAGATATGATCAGAAGGCGTGTCAGTCTGATCTGAGTTGTATGAAAGAAACTTTTGTTCCCGTTTCTACTTAAAGCTCAAAGGGCTGATGCTGAGTGAGTCCGAGTTGGTCTCACCTGGACTCTGTTTGTGTTTTCTCAGCTGACCAGGTATACGGCGATCAGGACATGCACGAGGTGGTGAGGAAACACTGTATGGATTACCTGGTGAGTGAATCTGACCTCTCAGCCAATCAGCTGACAGATCGTTGTTAATAAAGTTTCTGACCTTCAGATGAAGAACGCTGACTACTTCTCCAACTACGTGACCGAAGACTTTACCACATACATCAACAGGAAGAGAAAAAACAATTGCCATGGCAACCACATTGAGATGCAGGCCATGGCCGAGATGTACAACAGACCTGTGGAGGTGTACCAGTACAGCACAGGTGAGTGAGCCCACCCACCTGCTTCACTTCCAGCCAGAGTAAAGTGTCCTCACCTTGCTCCACCTCCTCCTGCAGAGCCAATCAACACATTCCACGGCATCCACCAGAACAACGACGAGCCAATCAGAGTGAGCTACCACCGCAACATCCACTACAACTCTGTGGTGAACCCCAACAAGGCCACGATTGGGGTCGGACTGGGACTGCCTGCCTTCAAACCTGGGGTAACAGAACCAGAACCAGTGAGACCTGAACACACACAAAACAGCAGTTTGTACAACGACCTGTAACCCTTTTGAACTCTGCATGTTCTGCCTCGTGTCGTTTTCATAGAGAATACAAAATGATGCACCAACATTCAGAGCACATTTCAGGGGTTCCCAACCCTGGTCCTTGGGGAACACCATCCTGCATGTTTTTGTTGTTTATCTGCTCCATCACACCTGATTTTAATTAATGGGTGATGAACGGTCTTCTGCAGAACATGTGGAAGTAATTAAATCACTGAATCAGGCGTGTTGGAGCAGGGAAACAACTAAAGCATGAAGGATGGTGTTCCTCAAGGACCAGTGTTGGGAACCACTGCAGATGAAAACGGAGAAATAAAATAATGTACAGAATAATATCTTGCTCAAATCTGAATGGATCAGAGCCGAAGACAACCAGAAATAAATTTATTTCTGCTGATTATTATTTTCTTCTCCATTGTACCCACATTCAGCTGAGTTTACACTGTGTGTGTGTGTGTGTGTCTGTGTGTGTGTGTGTGTGTCCTCTCAGTATGCAGACCAGTCTCTGATGAAGTCGGCCATCAAGACGTCGGAGGAGTCGTGGATCGAGCAGCAGATGTTGGAGGACAAGAAGAGAGCGACGGACTGGGAGGCCACCAACGAAGCCATCGAGGAACAGGTGGCCCGAGAGTCCTACCTGCAGTGGCTGCAGGACCAGGAGAAACAGGCCCGACAGGTACCGGGGGTGGGGGGGCGGGGTCACCTTCAGAAGGTGGGTCTGACCTGTTGGAGCAGTGACTGTTTGATTGTTGTATAACATCAGGCCCAGTTCTGGTTCACACGTGAAACACTTTATGACTGTTTCTTTTGTTGAGCTTTCTGTAACAACAACAAACCAGTAATTGTCCTTTCTGTAAACACAAACAACAACAAACCAGTCGTCATCCTTTCTGTAAACAAAAACAACAACAAAACAAATTGTTGTCCTTTCTATAAACAAAAACAACAAAGCAGTTGTTGTTCTTTCTGTAAAGTAAAACATTAAAGCAGTTGTTGTCCTTTCTGTAAACAAAAACAACAACAAACCAGTCTGAAGACAGACTTTGTGTTTCTGTGTTTCCAGCCCCGTAAGGCCAGTGCCACCTGCAGCTCGGCGACGGCGGCCGCTTCCAGCGGGCTGGACGACTGGAGCACCCGATCACCGCGGCAACGAGACTCTGACCCCTCCCACTCCGACCTCACGACCGCCCCATCGACCCACAACAAGCCCCCATCCCCCGCAGGAGCTGCCCTCATCCTGAGCAAACCGCCTTCGCCCTGCGCCCCAGGTACCACACCTTAGTCCAAGGCAGGAGCGATTCTAAAATCTGACCTTTATTTCATTGACCCTTTATTTATACAGGAAGTCTCATTGATTCACGAGAATTCATTTTCAAGCAAGACCTGTTTTTGGGAGCAGATGGTGGGGGTTAAGGGCCTTGCTCAGGGGCCCAGGGTGGGGCAAATCAGGGTGGAGGCAGGTGTGGGTGTTTCACCTTTTCCACCCACATTTTGATATTGACGGTACCGGGAGTTGAACCTGCGACTTTATGATCACAGGCCCATCTTCTCTAACCTCTGCGCCATGTGGTGGCTTTGCTGGCTCCCGATGCGTTCCCAGTTTTCAGGAGTTTTGAAATCGACTCTGAGTCCGACTGCACACGCTTTAAGCATGTGAGTTGTAGTCGAACCGAACCGATGAGAATCAGAGAGGATTTATCACGGACTACAGCAGCGATCAGCGACAATCTCAAATATAGGCTCGGCAGAATGCAGCTCTTAAAGTCATCTGCCTGGAAGCTTCAGCAGGGACACAAGCAGGAAGAGAAGACACTGCTCCCAGCTGAAGAAGCAAAGTTGCCGGGTAGGGTGTTAGTAAGGCTAAAAGCTAAAGCTAACTCTGGCAGACTACGATACCCTCTCGCTTTCTGTCAAATGTCCGCTCTTTGGACAAGATGGATTTGCATCGTTTGAGAGAGGATGCCTCAGAGGAGATGAGGAAATATGCTGTACTTCGTCTCACGGAATCATGGCTTAACAGCAACATGCCGGACTCAGCGTTCCAGCTCGAGTGGACCGCTGCAGCGAGCGAACGGGGAAGTAATGGGGAGGCGAAGTGTGCGCCTACGTAAATTTAGGTTGGTGCAGAAACTGTACTCTGATAAACAGCTCTTGCTCCAGGCTTTGGAGCAGCTAACTGAAGTGTCGACCACATGATTTACCCCGCGAGTTTACGGCCGTATTTATAATAGCTTTTTACATAGCCCCAGGTGCTAATGCTGCAGACGCCCTGCTGGAGCAGAACAAACACCCTGAGGTGTTTTACATGGTGGCTGGTGACTTTAACCATGTAAATCTGAGAGACACCCTGCCAAGATATTATGAGCACGTGGCCATTCCTACACAAGGAAATAACACGCTGGACCGTGTTTACACCAACTACGAGACACATACAAAGCCGCAACTCGCCCCCACTTAGGACACTCTGGCCACATCTCCATCTTTCTGGCCCCTGCTTACCTCCTCCCACTGAGACTCCCACTGAGACTCCCACTGAGACACTCCAGACCTGTCATTCCCCAGTCTGTTACGGAACCCGATCCATAGTGTAGTTCATTTGAACATGCGCTAAAAGGAATACTTCCAGGTCGCACGGATTGCTGTTGAATATGCTAGCTTAAGGAAAATGTACTAGTATAATTCTGTTTATGAATAAGAACTGTCTTAATTAGAAAAGTACGTGCTCTATCTCCGCCGATTTTAATGTTGCTAATTTACACCACTCGTATTTCCGTTAAAATCATTAACATATTTACGTCATGGTTAAAATGATCTGCAGCTTCACCACTGAGCGGCGCGGTTTCACCATGGAAACAATTCATTCTGTATCTCGCAGGGTTTTTCTCATTCAGCCCAGGCTGGGGGTCAGGTCTAACGTGTCGCAGATCATCTTAACCAATGATTGTAACGGAGATACGAGTGGCGTAAATTAGCTACATGAAGATCGGTAGAGGCAGAGCACGCACTTTTCTAAGTAAATTAAGACAGTTTTTATTCATTAACAACTGCGATCCGTGCGACCCGGAAGTACACTACGGATTGTGCTTGTGTAACAGATAGGGGAATGACAAGACCAGTAGAAAGGAAAATCAAAAGTTGGGTGAAGAATAGTGACTCCAAACTGAAAGACTGTTTTGCATGCACAGACTGACATCTATTCAGAGAAGCAGCTGTAAAAGATGGGGAGCTAGACCTGAAGGAACGCACATGCAGACCCTGCAGACAGTGCACGTTTTACACACAGGAGCGTCTCCAGACAGCTCTGCAGAGCGTGCACAACTGCCAATGTGTCAGAACTCCTGCATACATTTCAAAGATGATAAGTAAAAAAGCTTACAGTAAAAAAAGACAAAAATATGAGTGAAATGTTTGATGTGTATTATTCACATCACAATGACAGGATCAAAATGTTCAAAAGACCGTCCAGTTTATTATCTAAAATAAATGGATGGATGTTTGTCTCCAGTCCATCACAGGGACACATAGAGACAAACGAGACAAACAACCATTTACTCACTCACCTAGGGACAATTCAGAGTTACCATCAGTCTAACATGCATGTTTTTGGTCTGTGGGAGGAAACTGGAGTACCTGGAGAAAACCCACGCAGCACAGAGAGAACATGCAAACTCCACCCAGAAAGGCCGGACCTGGATTTGAACCAGGGACCTGCTCACTGAGAGGCAGCAGCTCTACCAGTTGCGCCACCGTGCTGCCCATAGTAATTTCAATTCAACTTTTATTTCTACAGGTTGTTAGTCTCATTGAGCCTCGAGGACTTATTTACAAGAGAGACCTGTTTTTAATTAATGTAATCAAATGTTTACAGATGTTTAACAACCTGTTACAATACACCAAAATGCTGGAAATGGCATCTCTTTTATTCCAAATTTTCTGGGGAAGGACCCCCCATCCCGCGCCTGCTATTTGTGTTTCGGCATAAATCGGTTTATAAATTAAGCCCTGGTTAAGAGCTACCCCAACCAGAAGCCCTGGCTGAATGCAGAGGTTCTAGCACCCTGCTGGAAGCCAGGTGCACTGCCTTCAGGTCTGGCAACTCACAGGAGCTGAGAAGGACAGGGATAGACCTAACCTGAGGCTGTTAGACTCATGAATCCCTAACCAAGACTTCAGGACGAACCTTTGTGCCAA